CCGTCTCGTGCAATCCGCTGAATTAAGTCAGAGTGGATGATAGGAGTTGGGCAACATTGACATATTCTGTTCTCAATGTCAAGACAATTCAATGCAGTTCGCGAATCCTTTTCCCAGTGCTTGATAATATTCTCGACCGATCGCCTCTCAGTGCGTTTATCTTCTTTCTCAATCGAGTAATCATACACGTCAACTAACGCCTGACGGTGCTTCCGCATAAACGCCCAAAATGCATCCCATGATACTTCTGGATGACTGATGGAGCGAATAGCAGTTGACTGAAAAAGAAGTGGACGGGAAAATTGTAGTTCAAGATGCTTTGTTAAGTTTTCACTATTGTCGATGGTGATAACATCTTCCGCCACTAATGATGGATCGTGATAGAGAGCAGTGATCAGGTCGAGACTACTCCGTGGAAACTCGGCTCTAAGATTCTCTGTGTTTTGAGGTCGGGTATTCGCCCATCTTGCAGATTGATCGAGTTTCTGTATAAATGAACGCAAAGATTCAGCGCCTGGATTATTAGAGGTGTTGAAATCAAGATCATATGTCCCCCAACCAGGAACTAATAATTTTTTGAAATCGTGTGTCCTTTGCCGCTTTCGCTGGCTTGAAGCTACCCAGCGTCCCGTATTAGTATTGTCAGATGCGGTGGATGTTGTCATGGCTAATAATCCGTGAGGACTTTGTGGAATATTCGTCAAAAGTTGTCAAAAGTTGTCAAAATTTGAGCTTGATGAGTTGTGGTTGACAGGGGACAGGGATACGACAGCTGACCAGTGTTGCCCAGTGAGCTTCGCACTGGGTGTAGAATAATACATGGAATTGGGGCTAAAATCAGACAGACGACGAAATTGTGATAGATCGAGGACCGTGCCCATTGGGCACGCATTATGCCAACTGGGCACGTATTATGCCAACTGGGCGCACACTATGCCAAGCGGGTACAAACCGACCATCAGATATGGAACCGTCATCCCTGTCACCTTTAGCTGCCACGTTGCCTCATGGTTTGGACTCTTCCTTCCCCCTTTTCTGATTTGACTATCCCCTCTAGCATTGCGGAGAGGTCTATCCTCGTTGTTTCGATCCCTTCCCTCTTCCCGGTTCGATTTCCGCGTACACATCTTTGACATTCGTCCTCCTCGAGCCACTCGACGGTTCAGATAACCGTCTGTAGCCAAGCACACAGTGATTGCGAAGTCAAGCTATTCAACTGGATCACACCACGGTTAGAGAATTTGCGCAACATTCGAAAGGTTGTCTTTGCTGGTGCTCTTCCAGCTGGGGCATTTTTTTTTTTATTGTTTCAAAACTCTCCAATCTCCAGCGCGTGTCTAGCTATGGCTAATCCTATGGTGGTGTAAGTTAAGAAGTCCAAGATTCAATGCACACATATACCTTGAAGAATTTTCAAACGGCATTCAACCTGGACTTGGAGGTCAACTTGAGTGTCAAGCTACCCATTCAGTACTCAGACCGTCTCAACCATATGGGATTGGATGTCGGTAGGCTGCATCTCTTCTCTTCATTTTTCCTCTTTTATTAAAACATGCCATTTCTAACTGTGCTCTATAAATAGATACAACAACATCTCATGAAGAGGGTATTAGAATATCCGTTCGCGCATCCGACCCATCGAGGCGATCTTTCCCTTATTGCAGAAGATTCCAAACAACCCTGAGCCACCGTATCCCATGTTTTCATGTCGCCTTCCTGAAGCCCGTCAGTATTTATAAACCACACTTACTCCTGTGAAGGGTTCAATATCCGGCGATTAATGGAGGAGGACTTTGGGAACTCGTCACAGTCAGTTAGTTGGCTTTTGAATATATCCGTGCCTTGCTGGGTTCTTCCCTTTATATTCACCTTCTAGAGGCAACCCTGGCCAAAACAGCTGGCCTCGGAAGCGCTCATACGAGGAATAGATCCATTGACTGGCG